TAAGTCTACTCAGCACTATTTTATTACTTGCTTCTGTTTGCTTTGCCTTCCTGTTTTCCCTTTGCTCTCTGCTTTTGGGTTATTTGAACTTTTCTTAGTATTGCATAGCAATGTATATTTTACTGTACCTCTGTGTAGGTTTTGTGTGGTATGGTTTATCTGATTACAATATAGCTACTTTTCAGAGTCCGCGCAATTCACTGAATCGATCACCACATACTCTGCAATGTAATACATTGCTACCATTTTTGTTCCTTTATCCTTCCTCCTTTATATTCTAGTTGTCTTATGCATTTAACCTGCATACATTGAAAAAATATTCAACCAATGTCATTTTTGCTATCAATCACAAAACATTTTTGAAAACGGAAAAGGAAAGTCTACTATTTATAGTAAGAGTGTTACCTGTTTATTCCTGTCACATCATCATCTCTCCTTCCAAAGAATTTAATTTAGTCATGCTTCTGGAGCACAGTTAGTGCAGTGAAAAAAAGTGGTGAAAATGGACATCCTTATCTGGTTCCATATCTGAGGGGCAATGATTTCACCTTTTGTCCATTTGGTTTGATACTGGCTGATGATTTCTCATGGATAGCCTTTAAAATTTTGAGGTATGTTCCTTCTATACATATATGTGTATATACTATATATTAGTATTAAAACTTTAACACATATATAGAATACTATATACTACATTACACATATATAGTATACAACTATATAGTATACTATATATACTATACTATATATTATATACTATATATACTGTATTATATATTATATATACTATATACTATATATACAACTATATAGTATACTACATATAGTATACTATATATACTGTACTATATATTATATATACTATATATACAGTATATAGTATATATATTATTAAATCTTTTATTTGAGCCATTTCTTTTTAATGTAAGCACTTAATGCCATACTATATATAGTATATAGTATAGTATATATAGTATATATATACTATATAATATATAGTGTATATATAGTATATAGTATACTGTTCTATATATGTGTAATATACATGTATACTATACTATATATGTGTAGTGTTTTATCATTAAGGAGTGTTGAATCTTATCAAATGGCTTCTCCACATCTATTGGGATGACCGTATGGTTTTTGTTCTTCATTCTGTTCATGTGATTTATGGCATTTATTGATTTGTGTATGTTGAACCACCCTTGAATTTCTGGGATAAATCCCACTTGATTGTGATGCATGATCTTTTTTTTAATGTTTTTTGATTCAATCGTTGAGAATCGTTGTGTCTATGTGCATCAAGGCCATAGATCTGTAGCTTTTTATTTTTTATGTGTTGTGTCTTTGTTCAGTTTTGGCATCAGATTGTTTCTGGCCTCATAAAAAAGAGTTTGGGAGGAGCTCCATGCTGTTCAATATGTTGGAGTAGTTTGAAAGGCATTGGAGTTAGTTTCTCTTTAAATGTTTTGTAAAACTCAGGAGTAAAGCCATCAGGTCCTGGACTTTTCCTTGATGGAAGACTTTTGATTGCTGCTTTAGTCTCATTGCTTGTTATGGGTCTGTTTAGATTGCCTGTATCTTCTTCATTTAATCTTGGTAGGTTATTTGTATCCAGAAATTTATCCATTTCTTCAAGTTTATTTCTTTTCAGTTTATTAGCATATAGTTCTTCACAGTAGCTTCTTATGATCCTTTGTATGTCAATGGTGTCAGTTGTAATGTCTCCTTTTACATCTCCAATTTTATTTGAGTTTTCCTCTTTTTCTCTTTGTTAGTCTAGCTGAAGGTTTAGCTTCTCAAAAAAACCAGTTTTTGTTTTGTTGATATTTTAAATTTTTTTAGTTTCAGTTTCATGTATTTCTACCCTGATCCTTATTATTTCTTACCTCCTACTGATTTGTTTTTTTACTAAGTCATTGATATGTATTATTAAATATTTTATTTGAGCCATTTCTTTTTAATGTAAGCACTTAATGCCATACACTCCCCTCTTAATGGTGCTTTTACTGTATCCCACAGGATTTCCTATGTTGTGTCTTCATTCTCATTTGTCTCAAGATAGTTTTTTATTTCCTTTATAATTTCTTCACTGACCCATTGTTCATTCAGTAGCATGTTGTTCAATTTCCATGTATTTATGAGTATTCTGTTGTTCTTGTTGTTGATTTATAGTTTTAGTCCTTTGTTGTCTTAGAAGATACATCATATGATTTCAACTTTTTAAAAATAGACTGAGACCTCATTTGTGGCCCAATGTATGATCTATCCTAGAAAATCTCCCATATGCATTTGCTTTAATCTGAAAATGTCTGTCTCTGACCTTAATTCCCGAGGTGTATTTCTGCTGGGTATAGAATTCTGGCTTGGCAATCCTTTACTGTTAGCATTTTTAAAATGTGCTACTTCCTCCTGGATTGAGTGGTTTCTGATGAGAAACCTGCATCATGAATAGTAGTTCCTTTATAAATATTGTGGTTTTTCTCTGACTGCTTTCAAGATCTTTTTCTTTTTGTGTAGTTTTCAGCAATTCAATTTCATAGATCTTGGAATGAATTTATTGGGTCTTATTTTATTTTAGGTATACTGAGCTTCTTGAATCTATAGGTTAGCATATTTTGACAATTTAAGGAAACTGTCATCCATTATTTTTTCAAATATTTTTCTGCATCACCGCTTTCTGATTTCCTTTGGGATTCTTTTTTTTTTTTTTTTTTAGATTTTATTTATTTATTTGAGAGGTAGAGTTACAGAGAGAGGGAGAGACAGAGAGAAAAGTCTTCCATCTGCTGGTTCACTCCTCAAATGGCTGCAATGGCCAAAGCTGGGCTGATCCAAAGCCAGGAGCCAGGAGCTTCTTCTGGGTCTCCCATGTGGGTGCAGGGGCCCAAGGACTTGGGCCATCTTCCACTGCTTTTCCAGGCCAAAGCAGAGAGCTGGATCAGAAGAGGACTTGAACCAGCGCCCATATGGGATGCCAGTGCCACATGCAGAGGATTCACCTACTTACCACAGCACCAGCCCTCCTTTGGGATTCTACTGATATAAATGCCTGACCCTTTAGTATTGTCTCCAGAGATCCCTGAATCCTGTTTGTTTTTCCAACCTCCAGTCACTTAATGTTTATTCAGCATGGATAATGTCCATCATTTTGCATTCCTCTCTCATCTTTTTTTCTCCTATTTGGTGCATCCACTACATTTATGTCGCTCCCCGTTTTCGTGGAGGAACGACACAGGACCCTGCGTTGTTCTTTCGTCTGCTCGGCCCTCCCCGGGTTTGCTGCTGGTTCTTCCCGGGTTGGCTACCGACCCTTCCACCTCCGTGGAAGGGCGGTTCCCCCTGCCACATTCCCCACTTCCGCGGGGGAGCGGCACACCGCTGGCCGGCTCTCTCGGGGGCTGCACAGGTGTTCCTTCAGATAGATGTTCCTGGTGCATGTTATCTCTCTCCTCCTTTATAGTCCTCTTCCACCAATCCCAACTCTGCTACCCACAGGCCGAGTACGCTGCTCTCCTCCAATCAGGAGCAGGTCCTACAGTTTATTGGTTGAACTGGAGGCAGCTGTGTAGAAGCTATTTCCTCCTCTCCCAGCGCCATATTGTGGGAGAGCAGATGCATAGAATAAGTCTTAATTCCAGTAACTTAGTCTAGTCCGAGTTGCTCCCAGTTGCTCCCCACAATTTATGTCTTAGATTTTGTTGCTTTTGTTTTAGCTCTGAAGTTTCCATCCAGCTGCTATTTATATCTTTTATTTCTTCGTGGAGACTTTCTGTGCTTCCTGTATTTCTCAGGGATACCCATATGGACTTCAGTTTCTCACTGGGAATTGTTCCTTCTAAAAAGGCCCCTGGTAAATGGCCCGCTGGCTCTTTGACCCTTTCTCATGAAGTGTGAAGACCAGAAAGCAGCCAGCGCCATGGCTCACTAGGCTAATCCTCCACCTTGCGGCGCCGGCATACCATGTTCTAGTCCCTGTCGGGGTGCCGGATTCTGTCCCAGTTGCCCCTCTTCCAGGCCAGCTCTCTGCTGTGGCCAGGGAGTGCAGTGGAGGATGGCCCAAGTGCTTGGGCCCTGCACCCCATGGGAGACCAGGAGAAGCACCTGGCTCCTGGCTTCGGATCAGCGCGGTGCGCTGGCCTCAGCGTGCTGGCAGCAGCCATTGGAGGGTGAATCAACGGCAAAAAGGAAGACCTTTCTCTCTGTCTCTCTCTCTCACTGTCCACTCTGCCTGTCAAAAAAAAAAAAAAAAAGCACAGAACCAAAATGTGGTCATCTGAGATAGTTTGCTGCCTTTAGACCCCAGGTGGATGGGAATGGGCTGTGTTCATACCAGAATGGTTGCATTGATTAATCCTTATTCTCATGTTGACTTGGAAACAGAACCAAGCCTAAGGTCCCGAGATCTGGATGTGAGTCTTGCTCTGATTGCTAACAGCATAATTCTGACAGTCTCTACACATTGTCACGAGAGGGAAATGATGGCTGAGGTTGTCTTCCTGCTCTAGGTCCTCTGGCCCATGGGGCATGGATGCAGTATCCACATTTGTACATCGGATATTTCCTCTCTTGCCATTGAGTCTTAGGACAATGATGGGGATGTTTTATGATATCAAGTGAGCACAGAACCTTAAAATCATTTGAGAGCAAGAACACGCTTGATAAACAACTCACTAGGAGCAGATAAACAACTCACTAGGAGCAGAGCCTTGTAGGGAAAAAAAAATAGGAAAATTTTAGTCTTAATGAGGAATCTCATTTTCCATGTCACAGACAGGTGGGAGTTAACATCTCCTTTCAGGGTGCTGCCATCAACTTTCTTGTGTCAAACAGCCCAGCCAATTTTGCAGTTACAGAAATCTTCTCAACATCTGGTTGGAGTCCCTTCAGCTGCAGTAGCCCAGTCTTCCTGGCCTCTTTTATTCTCGCCCTGGCAAGTTCCTCCTGGCCTGCCACGGGGCACCCTGCCCCTTGACTCCCATTTCCTTTCCTTTCCACAGCTGCTTCAGCTCTCGGCTGCCGCTGTGGACAAAGGACGCAGCGTGGGCGAGGTCCTGCAGTCGGTGCTACGCTATGAGAAGGAGCGACAGCTGGACGAGGCAGTGGGAAACGTCACACGGCTGCAGCTGCTGGACTGGCTGATGGTGAACCTGTGACCGGCACCACACACTGCTCCCCTTCCTGCAGCGGTGGGCCCGGCCCTCCCCCCCCGCCCCCTCCCCTTCCTCCTCACTTCCATGGTTCCCCTCCTCTCTACATCCTCCCAGAGGCCTCACATTATCTTCATACCACTCACAGCAAAGACGTGTCATCTTATGCTAGTCACTGGATTTTGCAGATTTTCCTGTCCATGCGAGCAAGGACATAAAATTAAAAAATTACAATTAAAGGGCACCAGGTGTTTGATTTCCTTGAGATCCAGTGGGACCATAAGGTAAAGGAATCGCAGGAGTGGGAAAAACTAATCAGATGGCAGAGGTGAAATAGTATTAGACTGAGAGCCACTAGCAGAGGGTGCTTGGTGTGTGCTGTTTATCCTGCCTCTGTGCCACAATTTTTATCCCCTTCATCTTTAAATTTACCCCTCAAAATAAGCCATAGCTTATCAAGACTTCACTTCAGCTATTATAACCATGAAACTCAGATAATAGCTCCTAATACCCAATCAAAATCATTCTGATTTCAAGGCCCTGGCCTCTTGCTTATTCTCTGTTTTTTTTGGACAGGCAGAGTGGACAGTGAGAGAGACAGAGAGAAAGGTCTTCCCTTTGCCGTTGGTTCACCCTCCAATGGCTGCCGCAGATGGCGTGCTGTGGCCGGCGCACTGCGCTGATCTGAAGGCAGGAGCCAGGTGCTTCTCCTGGTCTTCCATGGAGGTGCAGGGACCAAGGACTTGTGCCATCCTCCACTGCACTCCCGGGCCACAGCAGAGAGCTGGCCTGGAAGAGAGGCAACCGGGACAGAATCCGGTGCCCCGACAGGGACTAGAACCTGGTGTGCCGGCGCCGCAAGGCGGAGGATTAGCCTAGTGAGCCACGGCGCCGGCCCGCTTATTCTCTCTTGAGCTGCAGAACAAATGTCATCTCCAACTTTATCCATGATTGAAGACAGCAACCAAAAAAAAACTAAGAATGAAAAATTGAACCAGGTTCTGGCCTAGGTTCTATTGCCAGTTCTATGGTTTTCTGTCAGTAGGGTCTAAACAGGTTACCTGTCGTGACTCTGTCATTACTGTCCCTACTGCCTCTCCTAGAGAGGTTGTGTTCTTGACTTTTCTGTGCAATTGTGTATTCTTGATCCTTTTTTTCCTTCTAGAAACTTCCTCCTCCTATTTCTCGACATCTCTTGGGAGCTCTACTCTGTCAATTTTTTTTTAAGATTTATTTATTTATTTGAAAGTCAGAGTTACACACAGACAGAAGGAAAGTCAGAGAGAAAGAGAGGTCTTCCATCCGCTGGTTCACTTCCCAGATGGCCACTGTGCTGATCCAAAGACAGGAGCCTAGAGCTTTTTCTGCGTCTCCCACACATTTGTAGGGGCCCAAGGACCTGGGCCATCTCCCACTGCTTTCCCAGGCCATCGCAGAGAGCTGAATCAGAAGTGGAGCAGCCAGGACCCTAACTGGCACCCATTTGGGGTGCTGGCACTGCAGGCAGTGGCCTTACCCGCTTTGCCACAGCGCCAGCCCCTCTGTCAACTCCTTACATGTTTATCTTTCCTAGGATGTTCTCTTGATCTTCTGCTACTGTCCGCATCATCTTTCCTGCAGGACCTGATCTCAAGTCCATAGCTTCAGTTCCCCGATGTCTCCTTTCATGGAATATTATGCAGCAAAGTAAATGAAAACCACAAAGCCAAACATATTTTCCACATTGCTTGTGGTGTTGTGAAACTACGTTTCGTGCAAAATGTTAGCTGTCCTATGATTACAAGCATATAGGAAGTATGTCATTTTGCAGATGAGGAATAGAGGGGGCAATAAGTGGACAGGAGTAGATTTGGGGTGGGGTGTGGCAGATGAGTGAACATACCCTGCTGCTGACTCAGCCTCCCATCCTTTGGGAAACCCTCCATCCCCCACTCCATCCTAGGAGGTGTGGTGCTTTCACCACCATCAGAATGTGGACTTGGCACCCAAGCTGGGAGTCCCAGCATCCCAATCTCTTGGACACAGAGACTGGTCCAAATATAAGCACTTCTCAGGCTTCCCTGCCAGCAATGGAAGACTGCATCTTTTGACTTGATGTTGGTGGTCACTGTAACTTTTGGGAAGAGCTTGTCCTCAGAATAACGTTAACCAAAAAAGAGAAGCAAAGCTAATAGATAAAGAGGGGTCTCAGACCTTTGACCATGTTTGCATTGCTAGATCCTCCTATGCCTGAAACCACATGTACCTTTCCTGTTGCACCAATGAAAGCACTAAATGTTGTCCTGTGATTTACACCAGTCTGAGTTCAGCTTCTATCATTTTCAGAAAGAATTCTGCCCATAGCAAAACCGCTTCCCTGGGGTCCGCACTGTGGCACAGGGAGTTAAGCCACCACTTGTGACACTGGCATCCTATAAGGGAGTGTTTGTTCAAGTCCTGGCTACTCTGCTTCCCATCTAGCTCCCTGCTAATATGCTTGGGAAGGCAATGAAGGGTGGCTCAAGTACTTGAGTCCCTGCCACCCATGTGGGAGACCCTAATGGAATTCCTGGCTCCTGGTTTCATCCTGGCCCAGTCCCAGCTGTTGTGGCCATTTTGGAAGTGAAGCTGCAGATGGAAGATCTCTCTTTCTCTTTGTCTCTGTTTCTGCCGCTCTGCCTTTCAAATAAATCTAAAAGGAAGAAAGGGAGGAAGGATGGAAGGAAGAAAGGAATGGGGGAAGAGAAGGAGGGAGGATGGGAAGAAGGGAAGGGGGGGCCACTTTTCCTCAGCCTTAAAACCACACAACAGAACACTTGTGACCCCAGAAGCCCCAAGGAGCAACTCTGCAGCAGACATCTGCTGGGTGTTGTCTAATTCACCACCGCCCAGACACGGTCTACGGTCTACCTGGAGATAGCCTAAGCTCCCGAAAGTTGAAGGCTCCTTCCTCAAGGCTGCCTCCCCAGTAAGCCCCAGGCTACTTTTACAACCTGACCAACCGAGCTACAAATTACAAAATCCTGTGACACCACCCCCCACCCCCCGCAGAGTCCATTAATTTGAGTGGCTCACAGAATTCTGGGAAACACATTGACTGATTACAAAGTATCCACCTGAAGAGATGTGTAGGGTAAAGTATGGGGAAGGGGCACCGAACACCCATGCCCTCTCTGGCTGCCGTTCTCCAGGAACCTCCACATGTTCGGCTATCCAGAAGCTCTCTGAACGCTGTCCCCTTGGGTTTTTATGGAGGCCTCACTGCATGCCTGAAGCATGGGCAAGTTTGTAAAAGAAGACTTCCACAAGGGCACGATCTAATGCTAATAGACTGGCTGGGGAAACCAGCAGAGCCTCTCTGTTCAGATTCTTCTTGGCCTCTGTGTAGTGCTTTGCAGGTGTGGGACACTAAAATGAGGGTCTTCACAGATCAATCGGACCAGGGGAGGTCTGAGAATTTCTTGATGGCTAGCTAAAAAGATGGGAAAATTGTAGTTTCTTTGACTTCCCCTGGGAGAAGAGAAATTCTAGTTCTATGCCTTCCTCAGTGGGCAACAGGGAAGGTGAGTTATGAACCAGGAACCATGCACAAAAACCAAAATATATATACAAGTATATGAATTTATTATAATGTCATAAATCCTAACTGACATCGGTTGGCAGTCATAGGCAAGAAGAAAAAAATTTTTTCTTTTATTTAGAGTTCTATGAATGGTGCCATAGCAATGAGTATTTAAAACTACTCCTCCCCCCAGAAGACATAAGGATTAAGTTTAGGTGCAAGGACATCACCTCTATGCTTCCTAAGCAAGTCACGCCAACTGGCCACGAGACTAGAGCTGTGTGTTTTGTTTTTCTTTTTAAACAAATGTTTATGCATTAAAAAACAACAATCTGAAGTATTGTACAATCTGAGTGCCATCTCTAGTATAAATCATTGGTGGGAAGGAACAGGACATGCCCTCAGCAAGAGTCATACAATAGGTGGTAAAATATTCGTGTTCTTGGGAGAGGAGTTTTTGCTTTGCTGTCCTGTGGTGGTCACAGCTACGTCAGGCCCAATGACTGCCTCTGATTTTCCAGGAGCTTCTGCTAGGTGAGGCAGCTGGACTGTGTCAGTTGCATGCTGGCCAGAGTCCTTCAGATCACCTGCATTCTGGATATGCTTAGTGGCACTGTCTTTTACTTTCTCTGTCCTCTCTTTGTTCCTCTCATCTGCTGAAGGAGAGAGAAGACAGGAAAAACAAGTGTTCAAATGTGAATTGTTATATTTTCTAACTGTCCAGTAAGCTGTCTATCACCTTGGGGAAATCATGGTTGTAATGATATAAAAACAGTTCGGGGAAGGTGTAGCATGCAACAGGTTAAGCTGCTGCTTGGGGTATTGACATCACATATCAGAGTGCCAGTTCAAACCCTGGCTACTGTAAAACATGCTCTATGGTATTCTAACCACTTTACATTTACTGATTCATTAGATCCCTCAGCCTCCCTGGAGAGTAGGTATCATTCTCCTTAACATAAATGAACAAACTGAGATACACAGAGGAAAGGCTAACTGCCCGAGGACACCTGGTAAGTAGAAAAGCCAGAATTTAATCCCAGGGAACCAGACTCCAGTAACTTGTGTTTAACCACTGGATTCTCTTAAAAGCTTTGTAGGATGCCATCATGTGCCATTGAGAAAAATTCAAAAGATAAACAAAAGGCACAAAGAGGGTAGACACAGTGAAAGAGGAGGGAAGAGTAAAGGACTATAGAAGAATAATAAGAAATCCTGATGATAAGGTGAAGGAAAAAAAAAACAAACAGCTAGAGCCAAGTTCATTGAAAAAGGAAGGAAAATCCCAAAAGTAGTGAGGAAGCCGGAAGTGATGCAAGATTGAGCTCAGGGATGTTGGCGTGCGAGTCCTCTAACAAAGCCTGGCAGTCTGGACTCTGGAGGTAGGTCTGGCTGTTTGAGGGCTGTACCTTTTATGCTGGACAGCTGATATCCTTGAACCTTACCCTTCCTTGTCTCAGGAGGCAAACAGAAACTGGATTTCCTCAGGGTCTGGTGCCTGGCTCGTGGCTTGAGGTTCCGTGACTCATGGATCCAAGTGTGTTTGAGGGCCTGCTCAGGGGTCATTCTCAGAGAAGGGTCCCACCTGTGCACCAACAAAGCCTGGTGTGGGTGACTGTTGATCAGTTTACTTCTGTAATGTTAAGATTGAGACTTTTTTTAAACCTAGTAAGTATGTTTCCATTTAACCTATGTTGTATCACAAAGACATCATAGAAGAGGGACTATAACATAAAATGTAAAAGTTCCTAGAAATAACCATTGGAAATAATCTTTTTTAGACCATTTTTGTGACAGGCTGGGGAATATATTAGCATCCAAGTCTTACAGAATTCCTAGGAATTCCCTTATAAGAAAAGATATAAAGGAATCTTAACCAATGATACAGGGTTTGATAGGTTAAGGAGATAAAAATGAGGAGATATTTAATTTCAATTCCTCTTCCAAGTTGTGAGCAAGCAGTCGTTTGCACTGAAAAAGAAAACACCCGCAGTAATGTCTGTTGGTAGGGAGCCATGTTCTGGATGGGTGGGGTTTCTGGATGCCACATCTCTGGAACCAGTTTCTGTCATTTGCTGAGGGGCAGGCAGCCTGGAGCCTCAGCACGAGGCTGGGGGCAGGGTGTGGGTGAAGATGGGGTACAAGACCTCTGACTCAATTACTCAGGTGAGTACACAGCATGACCCCCCAAGATGGGAATACTTTGATATTACCAGAGGGTTTCCCTCTGTGCTGGTAACTAAATTCCAGAGTGCACAAATGCCAGGAGAGTGTTTTACTACTACTACTCTATACCACTAAAAGAATGGCAGAGTAGAAAGATATGGTCTTTTAAAAATGCCAAATAACCCACAGGACTGAGAGAGCTCAGGCATCCCTGGAAGGGGCCTTTGTAATACCTCATTTTATAGAAAAGAAAACCGAGCTCAGAGAGAAGCGATGACTTGCCAAGTATCATGCAACTAATCAACTTGCTGCTCAGTGGAGACATTTCCAAAGCTTCTTGAATAGTAGTGAAACAGTAAGACAAGTTAGCATCTTCCATACACCTTCTACACAGGGCATTACGCTGGGTGCTCTATGTTACATCTTTTTTACTGCGATTTCACTAAGGCACAGAACCTAATTTCTCAGACTCAACGCATGCATATGGACTGTACAAAGTTGTACAGAACAAATGGTTTATAGCCCACTGTTCCCCTAATTCCATACTATAGGATTTGGACACAAAATCCTAAGGGGGTGGGATGAGCCCCGAATCTACTTTACCCTGGGTTTGTGTGTGTGTACAAGTGACAACAGGCACACTGAAGAGGCTGGCTTCAGATCATGGAAGCAGAAGGCATTTAGGACTGGCCCACACTCTCACTGCCAGGCAGCTTGAGGCCAGGAAGATGGCAGGTGTCACCCACACGCTGCGTAATCGGACAAGTCACCTAACCAGTTTGGGTTTTGGCAAAACGGAGCAGCTCTTTCACCGCGACCATCACACAGGGGAGGGAGCCGTGTGATAGGACAGCAGATGTGAAAGCAGTTTGTTGATGTAAAGGCTCTGTTGCCGGTATTTATCACTGTCATTTTTCTTAAGTCTCTCCCAGCCTTAGATTTTCACAGGCGAACGTGTTCAACAGTGTTTAACAGGAAACCCAGAGGCAACGCCAGGCCAAGAAACTCACACCAGACACCTTCTGAGGAAGTCCAGGAAGCTGGCGTCGTAGGTTTTCAGCACCATTGTGAGATCCTTGGAATCCGGGTATCTTTTCTTCCCCCTGTTGTTGGCTATAGTTCTAGGAAACCCTTTGGAATCTTTAGAGATACAACATTCTGCATTTAGTTACAGGTGTAAGGAACCTGTGGTCACAGCCCAGCTGCCCACTGGAGTGGTCTTTAACAGCTCTTTTGCTTTCTGCTCTACTCACCTGCCCCATCCCCACCTCTACTATCTATTCACAAACACACCCACAGCCTCAGCCAGTCTGAAATGACCACATGCAGACTACTCGATGCAAACAATTAACTCTCAGACACTTTTACCATGTGCTCTGTGCCTCCATCCCACCACCTTCTCCCCATATAAAACTACTTAAATGGTTTCACATTAACCAAGGTAAAATAATTATGATAATGACAATAATCTGAAGTGACAGAAACATTCAGTTTTGAACAAAAAGGATATTGTCTATTCTTGGATTGTCTGTGAGTTCACCCTTGCTTTTTTCCTGCTAGCCCAACAAAGTGAGAATTTGGGACGTCCACAGTGTATAACAGGAAAGGCATTGTGGGAGAATGACTCTTCATTTCCCAATTTGAAGTCCCTTCCTTCTAGTCCCCACCAACATTCTATGAAGGAGTTGATGAAAGAAAAGTTGAGCCATTGGTGTTCCCTTGTGCTAGACTTTTCTTCCACCAAGTCCTTCAAAACTCAAAAGGCTGAATTATCAGTGGTGGATGGGAAAAGTACATGTGGGTCAAAAGAGCCATCCCATTGCTCTCTGATAAGCTGTATAGAGAAGTACAGCTTCTGCCTACCCTCACACACTACCTGGAGCAAGTTTAGTGTGTGTGCACTGTTCCAAGGCGACTTGGACACTCCCCTGGACACTGTCCTGCCCAGGGGCATGGTCTTCAAAGCTCCAGCCATGATCACAAGGTGACTTTAGAAGGTTTAACCATTGGACTGGCACTGGACCAACTAATCAGAGTGGATGACAACCTTAGCACTACAGTAGGAACATGGAGTGGCTGGGCCTTCAACTTTTAGTTTCTGCATCATGGGAGGTCCAAGGAGTCCTAGGAGAGGGGCCAGTGAGCTTGCAGCTGGGTCCAGAGTTGGGGCTGTGGCTCTTTACCAAATGACATAGAAGTAGACTAGAGGGCTGGTGCTGTAGTCTGCTCCAAGCATGAACCTTGTCACTGTCCTGCCACCGTACATTTGCACTGTGAAGGCCTCATTCCCAACATGACCTGAGTTCCCAGCCCCACTGCATCATCCCATGTCCACCACACCAGCTGTGCCACTTCTCTGCATCTTTTTTTTTTACTTTTCTGAAAGAAGCTCCTAATGCAGCTTGCCTTGGTCAAGTGGGGATCACTATATGGGACTTAGGGGATGGAAAGTGTCTTCAGGCCTGTGATACCCCCATTAGACACAACAGGAAAAAGAGAATTAGACCTGGGGACTTACCAAAGAATGTCTGCCTCCGGGAGGCCATCTGAATGCAGCGGGCTGGCGGCAGGCCCAGCACCTTCAACAAGTACAATGAAACTGCTTCACTCTTTGTGGGCTCATGCAGTCAGAGACTGTTAGAGCCTGGCGGGACTTTGGCCACATTTTGCCTCCCACGGACAAGAACTCCAGGGATATTAAATGATAATATCAAATTAGTAGTGGAGCAGACCCAGAGGCTGGGTCTTTTAACTCCTAATCCAGGGCTGTTCCAGTATCCTAAGAATCCACACTGGCCATGTTATTCTAAATAGGCATCAGCACCAACTAGAGTAGAGGTAGGCCACTGCTGTTAGCAGCCAGATCTTATTGTCAGTCCACACTGACCATGACTGAATTAAAGGGTGACATAATCCAACTTGCAGCACTGGGAGAGCGGAGAGATGAGATGAAAATCATCACATGAGCATTGTACCATTATTATAAAACACCCTCTTGAAAAGGGAAATGAAACACCTACTTGTTGCCTGTCCCTACTGCAACTTCTAGGGCTGCATGGAGACATAGAAATTACTTGGATCACCCTGGTCACCTCTCCTTATCAGTCCAACACACCTACCATTTAAGGCTAAGCTTACCTAATTATATTAGTGTTTTATTATTAGTTTCAACCGTGAAGTGAAATTACTTACAGTCAGTAATTCTCAAGGGTGTGTTTGTCTCTCTACTTGCAACTTTGAGGCAATCTAGGTAATAGAAATTTCTCATAGAGAGAGAAATAGCAGGCAACTTCAAAAGATTAATAAAAAAATTGAATGAATAGGCAAGTTTACTTTGGTGTGAAAAATGTTGAGGTCACACATAGAATTTTCATAATGCATACTTCCCATGATCTTTTTGAAGACTCCTCATACGCATGGATTTCCAAAATGCACCAAATAAGCATATTTTCATTCCATTTTTTCACTAACTTTTTGAAGTACCATCTTAGGTATAAAAAGATAGTTTTTGAAGTCAAAATATCTTTGTTTACTAGGAAAATCCTAGAATGCATAATTTTCAACTTTTTAGGTTTTTTTTTAGGGTTATTTCCCATTTTGTCTAATTTAGTTTGCAAGAAGTAATATTCACCTACAGGCACAGGAATCATGCAGAAAAGAGAAAATATGGCCCTATCTGTTTTTCTTAGGGCTGTAAGACCAATAGAATTTCATATTTTGTGTCTGGTAATTCATTACCAAAATTTGTACACTACTTATATTTTAATAATTCATCAGAAAGAAAACTTTTACATGTGGAGTTTATGGTGATGGGAAAATGTTTAAGTTACAGTGATGGATAGATTTCAATCATGAGTTGAAAGAACACTCTTGTGGAAGAAGTAGAATAGAAATGAGAGTTTGTTCAAGGAGAAAAAAAAGTGAGAAAAGTGAAATTCTTAAAGGAGAAGTTGTTCCTGTACTTTTTGGGTAGGCTTTTTTTTTTTTTTTTTTTTTTTTTTTTTTTTTTTGACAGGCAGAGTGGATAGTGGAAGAGAGAGAGAGAAAGGTCTTCCTTTTGCCATTGGTTCACCCTCAAATGGCTGCCACGGCTGGCGCGCTGCGGCCGGCGCACCGCGCTGATCTGAAGGCAGGAGTCAGGTACTTCTCCTGGTCTCCAATGGGGTGCAGGCCCAAGCACTTGGGCCATCCTCCAATGCATTCCCGGGCCACAGCAGAGAGCTGGCCTGGAAGAGGGGCAACCAGGAAAGAATCTGGCGCCCCGACCGGGACTAGAACCCGGGGTGCCGGCGCCACTAGGTGGAAGATTAGCCTATTGAACCGCGGCACCAGCCTGGATAGGCTTTTTTGTGAGTGTCAGGTTCCCTAAATTTTTTTTTTAGCCTTATAAAAGACCATTATAGCAGTTTTGATTCAAAATGTCATTATTTACAAGATGATGGAATTGACATCCTTTGCAACTATTTAAATTCTTGATCAAAGTGTTAGACGTCAACTCAACAATATATAGTAACACACTCAACAACAACAAAAGTACGCAGACCAGCTCTCACAGCTGTGATGAACCTAAGGTCTGAGAGAAGCTGTCATGCTGCTGTCACCGCAGCCAGCCCACCCCCTCACCTCCATGATGCAAGCCAGCTGCTCTGTTTCGTCCTCCCCGGCAAACAGAGGGTAGCCTGTGTAGAGCTCCGCCATGATGCAGCCCAGGCTCCACATGTCGATGGCCATGTTGTAGGGGAGGCCCAGGATCACTTCTGGGGACCGGTAGAACCGGCTTTGGATGTAGGTGTACACTGAGGGGGGGCAAAGAAAGAACAACTCACATGGGAAAAATCTCCTTCTCCCCGGAACATTTCTTTTTTGAGAACTTCACGCTTGAGGATGGTCAATAATCTAGATTCTAGCCCTCAGACTTACTCGGTGGGCTTTTCAGAGATTTTGCAGAGCGGCAACAGGCCAGCATTCATGAGCAACGTGACACAGCTAACATCTTTAAATCCTCACAGGAACCCAATTTCTGGGACAGCGTTATTATCCCCACTTTATCCATCAAGAGCTTCAAAGTAGGCACTGTTTCAGGGATGTAACTGAGCTGACTAAGGTATTTTATTTTATTTTATTTTATTTTATTTTATTTTATTTTGACAGGCAGAGTTAGACAGTGAGAGAGAGAGAAACAGAGAGAAAGGTCTTCCTTCCATTGGTTCACCCCCCAAGTGGCCGCTATGGCCGGTGTGTTGCGGCCGGCGCGCTACACCAATCTGAAGCCAGGAGCCAGGTGCTTCCTCCTGGTCTCCCATGGGGTGCAGGGCCCAAGCACTTGGGCCATCCTGCACTGCACTCCCAGGCCACAGCAGAGAGCTAGACTGGAAGAGGAGCAACCGGGACAGAATCCTGTGCCCCAACCGGGACTAGAACCCAGGCTGCCGGCGCCGCAGGCAGAGGATTAGCCTAGTTAGCCGCAGTACCGGCCATGGCCAAGGTTTTAAACATAAAACTTAGGGGCTGGCACTGTGGCACAGTGGGTTAACGCCCTGGCCTGAAGCGCCGGCATCCCATATGGGCGCCAGTTCAAGACCCAGCTGCTCCACTTCCGATCTGGCTCTCTGCTATGGCCTGGGAAAGCAGAAGAAGATGGCCCAAGTCCTTGTGCCCCTGCACCCACGTGGGAGACCCAGAAGAAGCTCCTGGTTCCTGGCTTTTGATCTGCACAGCTCCAGCCAGTTGCGGCCAACTGGGGAGTGAAACATTGGATGGAAGACCTCTCTCTCTGTCTCTCTCTCTCTCTCTCTCTCTCTCTCTCTCTCTCTCTGCCTCTCCTCTCTTTGTGCAACTCTGACTTTCAAATAAATAAAGTTGAAGATTTAAAAAAACTTAAAACATGTAAGTTTTCACACTGCCAGATTAACTGTAATTGGACATCTTCTGAGAGTATTGTAGTTTGGCAAGTGAGGTGACATACTGGAATGAGAAAGGAAGCGTGCAAAATGCACCACTTTAAATGTAGATTCAATACGTTATGTGCATGTAATGTGTGTATAACACACAGCATGGAAATCAGAGTTCAATGAAATCTCAGCAGCTGAGGAGGAACGGAAGATGGACGAGGAGACTGAAGCCAGGGAAACGAGACATTAAGTTACTTCCACACATCTGGACGGGGGACAAGGAGGGGCTCTACAATCACTCCTCTGTCGTTGTCAATTGATTGTAGTAAGGATGGAACAATTCAGTGACTTAAAGCAAAACAAACATTTAATAAACATGAATTTAATACCCTGCCTGCTTCCACAATAGATGTGAGGTACTTGCAAAGTACATGTACATAGAGTATTTCAGAACATGAAATTAATGGGACTTATATAGTTTTTAGCTGTGACAAATGCTTTATATGTAAGACTTCTTTCTGTTGCAGGTGCTATCATTGTATCCATCTTGAAGACAAGGAACCTAAGATAAGTGTTGTCTACTAGGTTACACAGCTTCCAGTACCTGAGATGAGTAAATGTACATTTCTTTGTGGAAAGCATTCTTTTCTATTTATAGGATCCATCCAGAAAACATGTAGGTGACACATCCTCAAAAGTGGTGCTGCACTGTGCTCGGAAACATCCATCTGGTTGTCCTTCCATCAGCCTCGAGAGGCTACTGCTGCTGCTTTTATTTTCTTTAAGATTTATTTTATTTTATTTGAAAGACAGAGTTAAAGAGAGAGGAGAGGGACTAGTGCTATGGCATAGTAGGTTAAGCATCTGCCTGCAGCACCAGCATCCCATATGGGTGCTGGTTTGAGTCCCGCCTGCTCCACTTCTGATCCAGCTCCCTGCTGATGGCCTAGGAGAGCAGCAGAAGATGGCCCAAATGCTTGGGCCCCTGCACCCACATGGGAGATCTGGAAGAAGCTCCTGGATCCTGGCTTCAGATGGGCCCAGGTCTGGCCAACTGGGGAGTGAACCAGCGGATGGGAGACCTTTCTCTCTGTCTCTCCCTCCCTCTGTCTGTAACTCTGCCTCTCAAGTAAATAAATAAATCTTGAGAGAGAGAGAGAGAGAGAGAGAGAGAGAGAGAGGAGAGAGTCTTCCATCCTCAGTTTCACTCCACAAATTGTCCAGGCCAAAGCCAGGAGCCGGCTGGTGCCGCGGCTCACTTGGCTAATCCTCCACCTGGGGTTCTAGTCCCAGTTGGGGCACTGGTTCTGTCCCAGTTGCTCCTCTTCCAATCCAGCTCTCTGCTGTGGCCCCGGAGTGTAGTGGAGGATGGCCCAAGTACTTGGGCCCTGCATCTGCATGGGAAACCAGGAGAAGCACCTGGCTCCTGGCTGCGGATCGGCCCAGTGCGCGCCGGCCGTAGCGGCCACTTGGGAGGTGAACCAATGAAAGGAAAATCTTTCTCTGTGTCTCTCTCTCTCTCACTGTCTACTCCACCTGTTAAAAAAAATAAATAAAATAAAATAAAAAACAGGAGCCAGGAACTCCATCTAGATCTCACATATGGGTGGTAGGGGCCCAAGCACTTGGGCCATCTTCTGCTGCTTTCCCAGGGAACATCAGCAGAGAGCTGGATCAGAAGCAGAGCAGCCCAGATTCTAACCAGTGCTCATATGGGATCCCAGCATCGCAGGCAGTGACTTAACCCACTGCACCACAATGCCGACCCCAGGAGGCTGCTTCTGACATTCCCCACCACCGTAAAGGCTGGTCCCCAAATCACCCTTCCCTGGGCCCTTAAAGCAGCCTGTGTATATATCTGTACAGTATGCCTAGCGTATTATCTTTCTGTTTGACATCCTTGTACTATACTGCAAGCAGCCCTCAGACAGGAAATGTTCATATTTTTTTCCTGGTACCCAAGACATTGACTGACACAGCAGACACTCAATGTCACATGTTCTCTACATCAAACTCCAGAAAAGTCAAAGGAACAGATGATTAAAACAAGTTCAGTAAAGGTTGTGTGAATATCTGCCAGGGCTCCTTTCTGGATTCCAGCTTGAAAAAGCCATAACACCTCGTGAATCTGGGTGGATGTAATGGCCGTATCCTGTGGCGGAATGAGGTGAAAAGTTCATATCAAGATGGCCGCTGAGGTGAAAAGTTCATGCCAAGATGGCCACTGACAACAGAAACTGCCTGGCAACAGGCCGTGATTGGATGGCTTCGGAAACCACATGACAACAGAGGAAACCACATGACGACAGAGCCTGACTGATGGCAGGCCATGATTGGATGGTTTCAGAAACTGCCTGGCAACAAGATCCTAACTGGCAACATGCTGTGATTGGATAGCTTTGGAAACTGCCTAGCAACAGGCTGTGATTGGTTGGGGCATAGACTGCCCCCTGACTGGATTGGCTTGTCTTGACTACATAAGCTGTTGTACTAACTGAAATAAACGGGTCTGCAGGCTGCTTGCCTCAAGCCCGCTTTCACCCGATTCCCGGGGTCTGTGTGGTGACTCCGCGCCTCTTGCTCCCACCACGCTCTTCCTCTCAGAACAAATCCTCTCAGAAGAAATCTACCTCAACAGTATCCCATATTGGAGTGCCTGGTTTCAGTATCAGGTTCTCCACTTCCAACCCAGCTTCCTGTTAATGTGCACCCTGGGAGGCAGAAGGTGCTTGGATTCCTGCTACTCATGTGGGATACCTGAATGGAGTCCAGGATCTTGGCTTCGGCATGGCCCAGCCCTGGGACATTTAGGGAGTGGACCAGTGAATAAAAGATCTCTCTCCTCCCTCTCTTTCTTGTCTTTCAAATAAATAAAAATTAAATTAAAAATTTTAAAAGTATACTTAATCCAAGACAGTCAAACTTTAGAATGGCTTTGTTTTTTTAAAGCACAGAGTCCTGGTTATTCCCCAGAAATTTGGACTCCGAGCATCTGGGACAAGACCCTGAACATATCATTTTTCAGAGTGCAGGAATGATTCTGATACACATCTAGTTAGATTTTGGGACCTAGTACTATGAGTTTATTCATGATCCATAGACCATGAGAGTTTCGAAGGGCCCTTACGGTGTTTGAACCCTATGAAAAAACTTGGGCTCAAACAAGCTGAGGACAGGCAAGAAGCCAGGTGACCACAACCGTGAAGGGAAAACTCAGAGACTGGTTTGGGGCTTACCTTTCTGGTGTTCATAACAGCTTGATCCAAAGTCAATAACTTTAACAGAGACTTGGCCCCTTTGATATAGCACTATATTTTCCTACAAGGAAGACAAGACATATGTCAAGTTTTAATTAGGTTGCTCCGGGCTCTATTTACCTAAATTCTGGCCGTTCTCCAGGGCCCAGTTCAAATACAACCACTTTGAAATGGGAACCTTCTTCCTCATCTTCTCCGCATCCCATTATCCTCCCCCTCCTCTGACATTCAGTTGACATGTGGTCAACTGGACCCAGTAGTCACTGATTGGCATTGGCAGTATTTGTTTGGCATACATTTTGCCTCTCTCCCCATTTTGATTGTGGACTTATTTTTATCTTCTCTGGCATCTGGTTTTATACCTTGCTTGTATAAAGTCTTGGGAATGCTATTGAATGAGTTTCTTTGAGGCTTCCATTAAATGCCCTCAAGAACATACTGCTATGACAGAAGAAGACCCCTCCTGCCCCAAAAGCAACAATTCTTATGCTGACTTTGGGGAAAATGTGAAATGGGTTGTTTCAGTACAGTTGTAGAATAGAAGGCAGAGCTTCTAGGTCTGCTCTCAGCCCGAGAGTGTATTGGCTAAGGCTGGAAGATTAAAGTCCCAATTTTCAAAGATCTCAGTGTTCAAGGATCTCAATATCAGAGGCACAGTTTCATGAATGTTTACTGGGTATCTAACATTAGAGATAAGGCATAAGAGGCATGGTCTGAAGCCTCTGGCACCACAAAGTAAGAAAGTAAAAATGTAGTCCACAGTACCTTTTCTAAAAAAAGTGTTAACTGAAGGAGGCTGATCAGGGCCTTAAAATAGCAAGAATTTCTAGCATGTCTCCAGTCCACTGGAAAGTCTCCTTAATTAGGGCTGGCCTTCCAATATTATTGGCAGAAGTGGCTATCTCTAGAGAGGATGAATGCAATGGCCACTCACAGCTCACTGACACTAATCACTAAGTCCATAAGAAAAACTCCCTGATTCTTGAATCCTACACTCACAAAACACTTCCCTGGAAAATCCCAGGGCCAGATGGAGTCACTGCTGAATTCTACCAAACTTTAAAGAGGAATCAACACCAAACCTTCTTAAATTATTTCAAAAAATAGGAAAGAATTCTTCCAAATTCATTCTATGTGACCAACATTACCTTGAACCAAATTGAGACAAGAACACAAAACAAAAAGAAAGCTACAAGGTATTATCCTTGATGAACATAGATGCAAAAATCTTCAACAAGATAATAGCAAATAAAAATCCAACAGCACATTAGGAATATCATTCAGCATGAGCAACAGTGCATTGGAACAGGCAAGATTTTTCTAGATCACATCCAAAAGCACAAGCAATAAAAGTTAAAGTAGACAAATGGGATTTCATCAAACCAAAAAACTTTTGCACGCAAAGGAAACAATAACAGAGTGAAGAGAAGATGTCCAAAATGGAAGAAAATATTTGCAAGCCATACCTGTGGGTTAATATCCAGAATATATAAAGAACTCAAACAACCCAATAGCAAAAAATTTCAATTTAAAAATGGCCAACAGGGGCTGATGCTGTGGTGCAGTGGGTTAAAGCCCCAGCCTGCAGCACCGGCATCCCATATGGCCACCGGTTCAAGTCCTGGCTGCTCCTTTTCTGATCCGGCTCTCTACTATGACCTGGGAAAGCAGTAGAAGATAGCCCAACTCTTTGGGCCCCTGCACCTGCGTGGGAAACCTGGAAGAAACTCCTGGCTCCTGGCTTCGGATCAGCTCAGCTCTGGTCATTGCGGTCATTTGGGGAGTGAACCAGCAGAATGGAAGACCTCTCTCTCTGTCTCTACCTTTCTCTGTAACTCTGTCTTTCAAATCAATAAAATAATTCATTAAAAAAAATTTCCAGTAGATCTAAACAGACATTTCTCAAAAACATACAAATAGTCAACAGGTATATGAAAAAAATGCTCAAAGTCACTAATCATCAGGGAAATGTAAATTGAAACCACAGTGAGCTATTATCTCATCTAGTAAGATTGGCTATCATCAAAAAGACAAAAGGTAACAAGTGTTGGCAAGGATGTGGATAAAAGGGAACATTTGCACATCCTTGAGTGGAAGTGTAAATTAGGACAGCCAGCATGGAAAACACTGTGGAGGTTTCTCCAAATACTAAAAATAGACTGGTCATGTGATTCAGCAATCCCACTACTGGGTATATGTCCAAAGAAAATGACATTTATCTGTCAAAGAGACATCTGCATTCCCAGGTTTATGGCAGCAGCATTCACAATGACCAAGAAACTGAAAAATCCAAGTGTCCATCCATTCACTGATGACTAGATAAAGAAAATATGGTCCATCTACAGCATGAAATATTACTCAGCCATAAAAAGGATGAAATCTTGTCATTTGCAACAATGCGGGTGGAACTGGAGGTCATTATGTTCGGTGAAATACGTCAGGCACAGAAAGACATCACACGATCTCACTCACATGTGGAACCTAAGAAACAGTTGATCTCAGAAGTTAAAGATATATGCAGCAGGTTAAGCCTCCTCCTGCAATGCCGGGGTCCCCTGTGAGCGCCAGTTTGAGCTTCAGCTTCTCTGTTTCCTATTCAGCTAGCTGCTAATCTGCCTAGGAAAAAAGCGGAAGATGGTCCAAGTACTTCAGCCTCTGCCACCCACAGGATAGACCTGGAAGAAGCTCCTGGCTCCTGGCTTTGGCCTGGCTAAGCCTCAGCCATTGCAGCCATTTGCAGAGTGAACCAGCAGATGGAAGATCTCTGTCTTTTTCTTTCCCTCTCTCTCTTTAACTCTGCCTTTCAAATAAGTAAATAAATCTTTAAAAATATATATATATAATGATCATTATCAGGCTGGCAATGGAAGAGGTCAGGGAGGGATGGGGAAAGTTTAATTGGTGGGTACTAGGTTGTAGCTAGTTCTGCTGAACAGTAGGCTGACTATAGATAATATTAATGTGCTGCATATTTCTCTATTTAAAAAGAACCTAGTAGGTATGATGTTGGATGCTTTCACTTTAAAGAAAACACTTGAAAAAGGATGAACGTGCTTACCCTGATTGAATATACACAATGTGTACAGGTAATGAAACATTACACGGTACCCCCTAACTACCATTTTTATATGTCTGTTAACATTTTTATCAGAAAATCAGCAATGTCCTGACTGTGTATTTCTGTACAGGGACAAACATCTTCTAGTTTATTTATTTCTCCAGGAAATCCGTTACCTGATACTTTGACTATCAAGTGTCTTGTGAATTTTCTGGTGAGTGTCAGTCCCCTAAGCCCAAGGCTCATGTGTGTTGTGACCCTTAGGAGCTGCACATCTGAGGATCAGAAACTTGGATGTGGACAGAAAGTCAGTGTACCTGCCTCCAGGTGACACTGCACCAGCCAGCCAAGATGACAGCTCTATCTTAGCAACCTTCAATTATAAAAATATCCCCCAACTTTCCCAATGAGTTGGAGCTTTAAAAAAAAATTTAAGCATCTTGGGAAATGGAGAGAAGGAAATGAGGTAAAGTTGAGGCATATTTTTCTATTTGTGAGGCTCAGCTGGCAGCCAGTGACACCCTGCGTCTCTCTAACAAAGGGCAGGTGACTGTTGATTGCTTCACTGAGAAAGGCAAAAGAAGGAAACATTTCCTAGACCTCAGGACTTCTTGCAGCTTACTTTGATGCACAAGACACCACCTTCCACAATAATCCTTCTACAGGCTGCCCTCAGACCTTCCTGATCCTGTCTGCCTCCATGACACCACCTCTCTCTCCATTTCCCACTATTCATGCCTTGGTTTTGAACCCCACAGGGCTTACACCACCCATAAGCAGGACTTCTTGGCTTCCACTTTGGAGTCTTGGCCGTGCTGGCTGCCCAGCTCCCACTAGGGAACTGTGGGAACCTGCTCCCGTGAGAGGACAGAGGTTGTACTCACGGGTTTGAGGTCACAGTGGATGATTTTCTCTACATAAAGCATCTGCAAGCACTTCAAAACAGAGAGGGTGAAGCGACGAACTATTGACAGACTGAACCCTTGAAAGCTGTTGTTCCTCATCAACTCATACAAGTTGATTCTGGGGAAGAGAGAGGAGGGGTGATGCTGTGGGTGTCCGAAGGCTCAGGTTGAGTGTGCACCTGCCACCTGGTCTCCCTCAGCAGTCAACTCAGACTAGGAGGCAGGCCTTTTGTGTCCCATTAACTCAGCATTCCCAACGATTCATGGCAAGCCCAGGGTGAAGTTCAACTGTGCTAGCCTCTCAGATGTCCCCTCTCATGTGACAAGGTCACTTAAGCACTGGGCTATGCTTGTGGGTGAAGAGGTTGGACCAGACATCTGAAATATTAGTTATGCTTCAGGCCTTTGGCAGGAATCCAGGGATCCCACAAGTCTTCAACCCAGCAATGCCCTCTCCCCACCACCCAGGCTGTCCACGAACAGCAGGTTCCTGACAAATAAAGGAACAAGACAGTGGGCAGATGGGACTGAGGGAAAATAGAGGGCCCCCGCCCCACCGGAAGCAGGTGCATCTGCTAGGTCCCATCCTATTGCTGCCTTGCAGGAATGAAAGCTCACTCTTGCCAGAGAACCATCAACACTCCGGAGCGGCTGGAGCCTGTGACAGTATAAAGAAGCCACTGACTTACAAGTGTTGTAGGCTCAGAGAAGCCATTTTAAAAAGCAAGCCTTGCTTTGAGCTGCCAGTTTGAGAGAGGCGAGAAATAGCAGAATCCAGAAACTATCTTGGGTCGCCTCTTGCTGGCTCCTCCTAACCTGCCATGTCTGCGATGATCTAATGGCAGGCTTTAGGAGGCCGGTCCTTCTTGAGGAATACGGTGGAGAAGTGAGGTGTGGCTCTGGCCTCATCCTGACCTGTGACCCTGGGCAGCTCATCAAGCTATGTTTGGCATTGGTTTCTCCCTCTTCATACCTGGCTCTCTTGACCTCTCTGAGTTCATTTAAGTACAAGGATTTCCTGACTGGATGCTGGGATGAAGGGCCCGGGAGGGCAACCAGGGCTATCCAGTTTGCCACAGAGAAGATAATTCACCTTTTCCTACTGGCAGGTGGCCCACATTTTATAATCACCAGAGATGGTGAGAATGCCAGCTTTCCCTTGGATTCTGATTGAGCTGGCTCCTGGAACCTCCCCATCAGAGATGGTGTCCCAGAGCAGCAGGGCCAGCTCAGTGAGCCCAGGAACACTGGGTTCTGAGAGTTTACCCTGATCATTCCCCTTTGCTAAATGTATTCTGAGTTTTGGATTTTATTTAAATTGCATCAGACAGCCCTTTCAGAGAGAAAAGTAATCAAACTAGCATGCCCTTACAATCAGCATAACTTTTCAGCTGATATTCAGTCAGGCCAGGAAATCTATTTGTCAGCGTTCTGCTTTCTTACCATATTTGTTCAATATCTAAGCTCTTTTCCCATTCTGAGCAGCCAGCTGCCTGTTCTTTTGGCTTTCAACCTCTGCACCAATGACAGCCAAGGAAAATCATTTTCAGAACATTTCAGTTTAACGGTTGAGAGCCAGGGCCTCGTTTTGCCTCACCCAATCAGCACTGAGCCTAGGGAAGCACATCCGGGGTATGCTGGCAGGTGCAGACTAAGGGGCAGGGTAAGATGGCAACTTTTGGTCCCAGCATCCGTGCTCCTGGAACTTCTGCATAAGTGAGTGGCTGCTGTGTCCATTCTGGTCGTTAACTAGTTGCACCAGGGAACATCTAGTGCTCTGACCTCAAAGCTTCTCTTCTGTCACCTAAGCAACTTTTCAAAGGGAAATGAATTTTTCAAGATAGCAGCTGACCCCAAGAGTTCAAAGGTGATGCAGAGGTGATTGCGGAAGTAGAAGAAGTCCTTCATGTGCACCACGTTGTAGGTGTTGTCTTTGTCCTTCCTTCTGAGAGCTTCCAGGATCTTCAACTCCACCAGGGCCTGGTGGTGAAATCTAAGGGGATTGGGGAGTGGCAGGGAGGATGAGACATGGAGACAGAAAAAACAGGTGTCATTGTCATGTCATTGCTGCAGCACCAAGCCTGGGTCCTCAGCCCCTCCCTGAGATCCCAATAAGGCCATCTAGGGCAGCAGAAAGCACTAAAAACTCTCCAAATTCTCACCTCCTCTCTGACCCTTTTGGATCCTTACAGGTAGAGAGAGTGAAAGGAAAGGGAGGAGGAAGATGAGAGGAAAGGGCCAAGTCACAAAGGGCAGAAATCTGGGGCCAGAGCCACACAGCCCCTCTTCCAGGACCCACAATCCACCAAGCCGCACCTCTTCTTGTTCCTGATGATTTTCAGAGCCACCAACTCATTGTTTTTGTGATCCAAGCACTTGGCCACCTGTCCAAAGGACCCTTTCCCGATCATCTCCAGAACCTCGTAGCGATAGGCAATGTGGTCATGTAGGACCTGCGGAAGCCAGGTCAGGTGTGAGGAGCAGAGTCACAGGTCCCGGGGCTTCCCTGACTCTGCAGACCCATCCCCGGCTAGCTCATGGCTCACTCCTGTGGGAAATTTGCTGAACTGCTTGGAGTACTTGTGCTACCCCCACCCCCACCTCGCTGCTACTGCAATGGTTAGGCTGCTGCCTGGATCCCAGCCCACCCATGCGGTTTCAGGGGAAGCCCCATGGGCTTGATTCATGGCAAACAATGCAAAGAACACCAGATGGCATTTGGTAAATTCGAATTCCAGTTCTATTGCTCTACTTTCCTGCATGTTTTAGGACCTGTAAAATAGGGGGATTGAACGGAGTAGCTCTGAGGGTCCCTTCCTGTTAGGAAATTCTGTGATTCTTGAAGTTGAACAGCAGCTCCAGTTTGGAGGACGTTTTTGTTTATTTTGTTTTGTGTCGTTTTGGTTTAATGGCAGTGTTACGAAGAGAGAGGGAGAGACATCTCTCTTCCATCCGTTGGTTCATTCCCCAAATAGCCACAATATCCAAGGCTGGGCCAGGCTGAAGCCAGGAGCCAGGAGCTATATCTGGGACTCCCACGTGGGTGGCAAGGGCCATCTTCCACTGCCCTCCCAGGTGCATTAGCAAGGATCTGGATGGGAAGTGGAGCAGCTGACACTGGAACTGTCACTCATATGGGATGCTGGCATCACAGGCAGCAGCTTATCCTGCTACACCACAGTGCAGGCCCCAGACTTCCTATGTCTGACCTTTGATGTGTCGCCAAATCAAGACGCTTTATGTCTGCTTTGCCACTCCTTTGCCAGATTTGGATCTCTCTTGGGCTTATCCAGATTTATTCTAGACCTAGCAATTCAGAACTTTGACATTTCTCGTCCAAGAAGTAAAATATTTTCCAAGAGCCAGAAGCATCCATTTCTTTCTTTTTCTTTCTTTTCTTTTCTTTTCTTTTCTTTTCTTTTCTTTTCTTTCTTTCTTTCTTTCTTTCTTTCTTTCTTTCTTTCTTTCTTTCTTTCTTTTTTTTGACAGGCAGAGATAGACAGTAAGAGAGAGACAGAGGAAAATGTCTTCCTTTTGTTGGTTCACCCCCTAAATGGCCGCCACGGCCGGCGTGCTGTGCCAATCCGAAGCCAGGAGCCAGGTGCCTCTCCTGGTCTCCCATGCGGGTACAGGGCCCAAGGACTTGGGCCATCTTCCACTGCCCTCCTGGGTCACAGCAGAGAGCTGGACTGGAAGAGGAGCAACTGGGACAGAATCCAGCACCCCAACCAGGACTAGAACCCAGGGTACCGGCGCTGCAGGTGAAGGATCAGCCGAGTGAGCCACGGAGCCGGCCAGAAGCATCCATTTCTCTCCTTGTGCTGACAACTAGGGAGCAGGTGATTAGTCAAAGCCACAGGAAATTTCTAACTGAAAACTGAGCTAGGTGGCTTCAGACAAGGCACTTAGTCCCCTGTGAGCTGCAGAGTGCTCATCTGTAAATGGAAGACTCTGGATAAGATGATCCAGGGGGCTGGTATTGTGGCCAGTGGGTTAAGCCACCGCCTACAGCACTAAGATCCTATATGGGCACTAGTTGGACTCTCAGCTGCTCTCCTTCCAATCCAGCTCCCTGCTAATGCACCTGGGAATGCAGCAGAAGATGGCCCAAGTGTCTGGGGCTTTGCACCCACATGGGAGACCTGGAAGAAGCTCCTGGCTTTGTCCTGGCCCAGCCCTGGCCATTGTGGCCATTTGGGGAGTGAACCAGTGGATGAAATCAATCCTCTCTCTCTCTCTCTCTCTCTCTCTCTCTCTCTCTCCCCTTCTCTATGTAACTCTACCTTTCAAATAAATAAATAAATCTTAAACAACAACAATAAAAAGATGACCTTTAAAATTCTCAAGCTCTGTGAATTTCTGATTGCTAGGGCTGTACTATGAGCCTGGGAGAGATGAAGGGTGTTTGTGCACAATTTCTCAGGATGTGTATGTAAATGTGAGGTGGGAATATGTTTATGCAGGAGAATTCAAGACCATGCATTTGAACTTGTATAACTTTACCGATATTTGGAAGTGGGTCTGGATACCTGTAAAGGTCTAGCCATGAGAGTGGGGCAGGCACTTGCATGTTTTCTTAGCAACTGTACATATCTCCTACATATCACCAGTTTGACCATATCACCATTATTCGCTCACTTGTCAGTGCTGGCATTGATTCAGTTACTTGAGAACAAGAACCATGTTGCATTGGTTTTCATTCTTCCCTTGTTATTTCCAAAGTCTTTAGCAGATGCCAAAGTTTATGACAGTTGCTCAGTAAATAAGTATTCGGTTACCATTAGTTGTTAGAATAAATATGAGAACGCAGCCGGGTCACTTGTTTGAGATTTTGGCTAGGTGCACTGTGTCATGTTTGTGCTCTGAAATGCAATATGAAAAGTTGGAGCTTCTGGAAAGCATATATTGCCCCTCTCTCCGTCATGAAAAGCAAAGCTCTCTAAGACTTGAGATTGAGGAACTGAGTTCCAGTGGATTAACTTAAAGGCAGCACTGACATCCCGAGGGAATTCCTCAAGACCCTGGGTTCAGGTAGGTTGGGGTAAGGGATGGAGGAGTGAGGAAGGGGTTGAGTGTGTCTGACTGAAGGGGAGGTAAGGTTTATATTGAGGATTCTTGAACAAAGACTCACTGATCCCCTGAAATTTTGTGTATGTGCAGGTTGCCTTTTCTGATAAATATGTAGTTTTTATTAGACTCCCAAAGAGATCCTTGGCCTAAAAATGTTGAGAACCATGGCTATAGATGGAGGCTGTGTCACAAAAACTAAATCCCTGCTTCTCCTAGCATGGGCCAAGGACTGGCAGCACAGATGTCACCTGGAAACCTTTTAGAGATGCTAAACATCAGGTCTCACTCCAGAACCTCTGTATTTTAACAAGAGTGTCAAGTGATGTGTATCCACAGGCAAGCCTGAGAAACACGCCCCTGAATGCCATGAAGAAAATCTACCTCCTCAATGAAGGCATCAAAGGCTCATGTTGTCTCCTAAAGCCAAGTTGTGGAGAAGAGTGCAGAAGAAGAAACTCCTGACAGCCCGCAGGCTGGCGGACCAAGCCTCACACATCAGACATGGCAGACGTGAAATCACTGCCAGATGTCACCTTCTGGCTGAGAACAGGCACTGTCCTGGGGGACCGCGGGTTACCCCCAAGGTACAGTCCAAGGGGAAAGAAAGAGTTGTTGGGATCAAGTTTTTGAAAACAGAGGTAAGTACTAAGTGCTAGGGACTGCAGGGACAAAAACTGTTTTGTCTGGGGGAAAACGTCATCTACTTTCAAATAGAAGAGGGACCGTGTAGGGGCTTATATGAAGGAGATGACAAAGGGAATGTGGGGGAGATCATCTGATTCCAGGCTGGCTTTTTCCAGTGAGTGCAAGGTCACGCAGAGGAGTGGGAGGTCACTCAGGATGCACACCCATTATCCCAAATAACCATGGACAAAATCGGTGCTCTGTTAATAAAGCATTTTGAATACTAACTTGCATGCCTTCCCATTTTCAAACATGGCATTCCTTCAGCCTAGCACCTACCGGACTCCTTCAGGGTGCCTGGTCCCTGCTGTATTAGCATGAAATACTATTCTTTTCTAGACAATGCCTTGTTCAGAAGCCCCTAAGTGTCCTATGACCCACTTCCCCCTTACCTTCATGTAGGAGCCATGTTCATCATCAAAACTTGTCTTGCTCAGTTTCTCAGAAGCCATGTTGAGCTTGTCAGCTTCAAGCCCCAGGAACCATAACTCTGTGTAGCCCAGGATTTCACTTCGCTCATACAAGGACAGCTGGTTCTTAAAAAACTTTAGGGCCTCTGTGTGAAAAGCACTACAGTTGTCAGTTAGGTTGAGGCAACATGGGGATTTGCCCAGGGAGCAGATGGTGGCTTGCATCCCTTCCAGTTCATGAGCACGGGTTCAACCAGGCAGTCTAGAGAACTACACAGCTGAAATCTCACAGTGGGAAATGTCACAAGGCAAATGTCAAGGTCTTGTACTTATTTCAGCAAAACCCAAAGAAGGGAAAATGGGTAATTTCTTCTCCCAAAGAGCTAATGGGTTGCAGCAGCATGCATAAAAAAATCAGGAGTAAACAGTGTTGACAACAGTATGACAGTATATCACAATATTCATAGATTTAAAAGATAAATTTATTTCGGTACAATTTTTTGGTCAATCCATGCATAGTTGTTTTATAATGTGAACTTTCCATGACATTTTTGATGCATGGATTTCAAAATTATTTTGCACCAAAATGAACATATCTTTTAATTCCACTGTCCACAAACCCTACTCTTAAAATTTTTATATTTAGGAGACACAGAGTTCACTTCCCAAATGTCCACAAGGGTAAGAGATGGGTCAGTGCCAAAGCCAGGAGCCTGGAACTCAACCTGGGTCTCCATATTAGGGAAAGAAACCCAATTATTTGAGCTTCACCCCTACCTCCCAGGGTCTATGTTAGCAGGAAGTTGGGGCTGGGAAAGGAAGCCAGGAATTAAATCCAAGTATTCTGATGTGGTATGCTATGTGGGCATTTTAGCTGCTAGGTTAAGCTCCTGCTCCCCACAAACTCTTTTTTTAGTTCCCTCATATACAGTTAAGATGCCATCTGCCCAAATTACTGTGGACCTAGGCTACAAAAATAGTCTATCCTGAGAGTGTTCAAAAACTTGAATGTCTTCAAGGGCCATACAGGTAACAGACATGCAATTTTGAAGGCCCAGAAAGCATTTCCATTCAAATCTGCAGCTCGGTTAGTGGATATCTCAGACTAGATGGAGGGAATCATGTTAGCCCTTCTCTACTCCACACTGGCCAGATCAGAACAGGATGTTGAGGTTTGGTCAGAAGGGTGAGGGTTGGGGGTGAAATTCACACTTTAATTGAGAATGTGCACCTGGAAGAGAAGCCAGGATCAGGGGAGAGGGCAGCTTGTTATTGGTGAACTTCTGAGGAGTTAGAGAAGGAACTCCAAGGAGACACAAAAAGACTTATGGGGGATAAGACCTCCATCTTCATATGTGAGCTGGACAGTCATATAGTCGTGTGTGTGCTAAATATGCATGCTCTTTTCCAGAGGACTGAACCAGGACCCAAGCAAGGGAGCAGGGAGGCAGACACCAGCTCTGTAAAGGCAGCACTGGCTCAGAACTGGAATTATGTCATCATGGCCAGCTTCCGCTTTTGTTAAAGTAGCAACACCACGATCAATTTCAGTTTCAAAGCTGGAGTAACAGAGCTGCAAGCACTGGACAATGCTGACACATAGTCAGTGCTCAACGGATTTGGGTCTCTCTCTTTGGATCCTAACAGGTTATGAGACTCGGGATCTCTTGAGGAGTCTGGCTCTCAGCCAAACACCTACAGGTGATCTTTCAGGACCAACCATTGCCAATCACAAAGGTCTCTTAGGGGTGGAGGGTGGGGCAGCTGCCCTTCCCTCGTCAGACCTGGTGCACAGCCATGGCACCAGCTATGGCACTCTCTGAAGGGAGTGGAGGCAAGGGCTAGGCCCCTGGCTGGTTATGTCTTATATGTATTCCTAGTCCAGAAGCCCCCTCAGAGCCTTCCTCAGCCACCTCTGCCAAGACCTCCTCATCTTGACTCATGTGCAATACTTTCCCTTCCTCTCTCTTCCTCCTAGTCCCTGGGTCTACAAAATGGCAGGAGCCTTTTGGAAGGGCATCCCGACAGTCAGCCAATGCCTTCTGTCTGCCCATGCATCCGATACTTGCCTGGGGCCATTCCTTGGGAGGAAATGGAGCAGTAGGGAGCTGGTGCTTTCTCTTAGCCTATTGTTTCCACAATCACATTAAGAGATCGAAGACTGAATTTCTACTTTCACTTTGTCTCATGGCCTTAATCAGCTATTCTCATACCTGGTAGTTTAGCCCCTTCTAGCTCAACTCAGCTCAGCTCAGCTCTGGACAACCCAACCACCCATAACCACAGCCACCACACCCTGTGACCTCCCCAAAGGCATACCTGATGCTGTCAGGGGCACCTTGTGCTTCCTTGGTGATTTCTTCTCTGACTTAGGATCTTGGGTTTTAAGTCCAGAGTGGAAAGATGTTTCTAAAGCCTTGAGCTCAGAGGCCAGCATGTGACTGTGAGTTTGATTCTCCTGTCCAGAGAAATAAGTTAGCAATAAAAGACCACTTAACCTGCTGGTGCTGTGGCTCAATAGGCTAATCCTCCACCTTGCAGCGCCGGCACACCGGGTTCTAGTCCCGGTCGGGGCGCCGGATTCTGTCCCGGTTGCCCCTCTTCCAGACCCCTAGAGAAGATGGCACATCAGCCAGATTCTTTTCCTAACCCTGCAGAGACAATAAGAGAATAGTATTTCCCAATCTTCCTCTAAAATAAAGTGTTTGGCTCTCACATTATGCCCTGGGGGACCCACGTACATCACAGGATGCAGTTGACAAGCCTAGCGATATGTCACTGCAGGAAGAAATAGGAATTGGTTCACTGCTGCTCTCGAGAAGGCAAGTTCCCGACTGGATGAACTGACTTGCCCAAGGGCATATAAACTTGATGTTATGTGTTGGTATCATCTCTTTAATTTGGTATACTCCCCATCGAATACTTCATTCGGTACTTGCACAGAAAAAAAGATGACATAGAAGGAAAAAATACTTGTATCATTCCACCATTTGTACACCAGATCTTCATTTTTCTTCTCCTCAATAAGCCTCACGCTAACTCAATGGAAAACGCACTCTGGGGATGAGAGATCAGTGACTTGTTTGGTCAAGTTTACATTCTTTTCAGATTGAGGACAAGACTAGAACCCAACTTTTCAACTAACACTGTACTTCCCCTGCCTCCACCCTGGGTGTTTCTAAACTTGGTTATGGACCAGAGCCAGGTCTTTCTCCTGCACCCAAGGCATGTCCACCGCCTTGTACTCACCTGATGCAGCAGGGGTGTCCTCAGTAGGATTTTGTTGCTGATGCATGGGAAGTTAACCATGTTCTTCTTCCCCTTGGTATCCACAAAAGGGAGTGAAGTAATGCTGGTCTTTGTATTCTACAGAGTGAGAAACTGGGTAAGCTATAGAAGTCTTAAGCAAGAAAGTGTCTTCAAGGGTCAGTTCTTCTAGCATTCTCCCTAAAATATAAAGGATGGAGCCCATCCAAAGTCTGGGCCTAAACCTACTCATAAAGTTTTTGGATAAAAGAAGCAGATTCCAGAAGTAGAGTAAGCTAGGAATTTGGCTCTTTGAGTCTGAATTTCTGCCCCACCATGACTATTTACAAACCTCAAACAGGTCATGTTAGCTCTTTCTCTATGCCTCAGTTGTTAGATCACTACCACAGGGACAATGGGCACTCCCTTATTAGGCTTCTGTTAGGTAAAATAAAGCCTTATTAGGCTTATGTTAGTCCACATAGCCATTCTTATCATTCCAATATCTTATCACCCTGCCACGGGAAAGTTCTTTGAGCTATATAATCCAAACATTCCTTGGTGCAATATAAGCTCCTATTTTTTCTACAGCTACTCACTTGGTGTCCTGCCCTTCTGATTTATTGGTTGATTGATTAGTGAGAAAAGGAACAGTCTGAATACCAATGAATAACACTTAAAATTGTGTGGAGATGCGGCATGGTGATATGAATAGAGTGCTCTCATAGTGTGATGCTGAGTTGGGAAGAAATGTTTGTTAAAAGTTACACTGGCCATCTGCTTGCCTCCATTTCTTGTAGAGAAAAGGCACTAGCCATGACTTCCTACCTGCTAGGATTTGGATATGATTGAGTGTGGTCCCTAAAGGTTCATGTGCTGGAAGCTTGGTCCCCAGTATGACGATGGTGGAAGGTGGTGGAATCGTCAAGCAATGGGGTTTCATGGAAGGTAATTAGGTCACTGGGGGACCCATCCTGGGACTAAAATGGCTCTCACAAGACTCTGATTAGTTCCTGTAAGAGCAGGTTGTTATAAAAGCATGAACTTGGGCTGGCGCCGCGGCTCACTAGGCTAATCCTCTGCCTTGCAGTGCCGGCACACCGCGTTCTAGTCCCGGTCGGAGCGCTGGATTCTGTCCTGGTTGCACCTCTTCCAGGCCAGCTCTCTGCTGTGGCCAGGGAGTGCAGTGGAAGATGGCCCAAGTGCTTGGGCCCTGCACCCCATGGGAGACCAGGAAAAGCACCTGGCTCCTGCCATCGGATCAGCGCAGTGTGCCGGCCGCAGCGTGCTGGCCGCGCCGGCCATTGGAGGGTGAACCAACGGCAAAGGAAGACCTTTCTCTCTGTCTCTCTCTCTCACTGTCCACTCTGCCTGTCAAAAAATAAAAAATAAATAAATTAAATAAATAAATAATAAAAAAATAAAAGCATGAACTTGGCACCTGCAGCTCCATGGCTTCCTGTCTCCCCATGTGATCCCTTTGCATACGTGCCCATCACTGTGATACCATCCACCATGAGGCTCTCCTCAGAGGCAGAACAAATGGGGCCACACGATCTTTCAGGCTCCAAGAATGTGGACTAAATGAATGCCTTTTCTTTACAAAGTACCCAGCCCCAAACATTTTCTTACAGCAAATTGGACTAAGACGCTACCTTACTCAAGAATCGAGTCATTCTGAAGTTCTTAATCTTGGAAGATGGTTTCTGGGCTTGAATCAAAGGCTTACTCTCAACCTAGACCAAGTGTAAGAGGATTGTAATAGTGCTTTGCATAGCTTCACCCCCCAAGCTACCTAGACATTTATTTTGTTTCACTACAATAAACAAGATATACTCAAAGTCAGCATCCCTGACTCCAAAGCTGGGAAGAACCAAGAAAAGCTGAAAGAATTATTCAATAAAGTATGAAGGAATGACTACTCAAGCAAATGATCTTTCCAGAAGTATTAGTCCTGGTATGGCTTGTCTGATGGTTTCCATGCTTAAAAAATGATTAATATAATTCTCTTTTTTTTTCTCAAAATCTTAACTAGAATCACTCAACATGTAAAGGAATAAAAGCTGAGCTGCTATTACTCTGTAGAAAAAAAATGCTCACAGCCTTACCCAGAACTCTTTGCATCCTCACAGTGGCTGCAAAGCTACCCTAGTGGAATCTGTCAGAACCCTAGGCTGAACCCCAGCAACCTGATCAGAAGAAACTTCACAACTAGAAAGGGGTGGGGAGAAGACCCATGTCCTAGAGCAGTGTCCCCTTTGGGACACGCTGGAGGAAGGTGACACAATTGCTGTGTGTTGCACACAGACAGTTGTTCAACGGTTATGCATTTCTTTTAATATTAACTTGAAAAAATACAACCAGAATATTAAGTTGGTAAATTTGTGATGTTATTCAACATGAAAATAAAATTTAAGTAAAAATAAATCAAATGGAGTGTGAGTACTATACAGCTATGACAAAGATGGCACTGAAATGACTACAGTTTAACAAATAGGCTACAGCTTGATCCAAAGTTCTGGCCTTTGAAGAAGAACCTATGGGTTTCCTCCTTCCAGATCACCCCTAGGGAAAGGGATATTTATCCAAAGTTTAGACAGAGCTAGGGCCAGAGCCACCTCCATAAAGGTTGGCCACACCAAAATAAGAACTGGGTACAGCACTTCAACTTAGTATCATTCAACACAGCTACCTCCTTTCACCAAGCTATAATGATTGAAAACTATTTAGAATAGTCAATACCTTCTAGAAGAGGGAGGTGGTGAGAAAGAGAGAGAGAGCATCCATTGGGCCAAGGTCTCATGCCATGTGAGTTAATTTGCTAATGTGTGCCACATGCAGGATTTGGCTGTCTCCTCAGAAGGACCATGATGGTATACAAGCAAATATTGATAGCACAAATCTCACTGAATCTCAGCTTTTCATTAGGTAGACTTATGGGGATTAAAATTCATAAGCATCATCAGTCATCACAAGCTGGCTTTGAGTACGTGGTGGGAAAATAAATGAAAAATATATTAAGAAAATACACCCAAGCTGAATACCAGACTAAGGGTACAGACAATGATTGTCAACAAAAAAGGATAACTGAGGATGCAATCATCCCAGGAGGCTGGTGGGGTGGTGGGTAGGGGGCAGCTGATTGGAATGAATAAGGCTTGGGCAGAATATTAGCTGAGAAAACAGATAGAGAGCATGCTCATCAGGTGAACCAACAGCATGAGGGCAGCCTCTGCTGGTCTTCCCTGATAACACTGGGGAAGCTGGAGTGGAGAGTTGACTATGGATTAAGGAAAACTGGGTTATGATACTTGGTCTTTATCCTATGAGCAATAGTGAACCACTAGGGGCCGGCGCTGTGGCACAGTGGGTTAAAGCCCCATCCTGCAGCGCCGGCATCCCATATGGGCGCCAGTTCAAGTCCTGGTTGCTCCTCTTCTGATCCAGCTCTCTGCTGTGGCCTGGAAAAGCAGTAGAAGATGGCCCAAGTGCTTGGGCCCCTGCACCCGTGTGGGAGACTAGGAAGAAGCTCCTGGCTTCTGGCTCCTGACTTCGGGTCAGCTCAGCTCTGGCCATTGCGGTCATTTGGGGAGTGAACCAGTGGAATGAAAGACCTATCTCTCTCTCTCTCTCTCTCTCTCTCTCTCTCTCTGGCTCTACCTCTCTGTGTCTCTTTCAAATAAATAAAGTAATTCTTTAAAAAAAATAGTGAACCACTGACAGTTTGCATGCATGCCTGGAAGCTGCACCTGCAAAGTAGCACTGCAGAAAGGCCCCTTTCAAAAGCAGCGAGATGGCATAAAATAACGCTCCTGGGTATGGATGGACTCTGCAGTCACATTCTCATTTTGGATCTCATCCCTACTACTCAATAACTGTTTGGATTTGGGCAAGTTATTGACCTTCCTTCATGTGATATAGGGATAATATCAGTACCAACCTCATGGACTTGTGGTGAGGATTAAAAGAGTTAATACAGATGTGTTTTAAAAAATTCCTGGGAAGGGGCTGGCACTGTGGCACAGTAGGTTAAGCCTTCGCCTATGGCTCCAGCATCCCATATGGGCACCAGTTTGAGATCCAGCTGCTCCAATTCTGGTCCAGCTTCCTGCCAATTACCTGGGGAAGCAGTGGAAGATGGCCCAAGTGCTTGGGCCCCTGCACCCACATGGAAGACCCGGAAAAACCTCCTGGCTCCTGGCTTCAAATCAAGCCAGCTTTGGCTGTTGTGGCCCTTTGGGATGTGAACCAGCAGATGGAAGAGCTCTCTCTCTCTCTCTCTCTCTCTATCTGTATCTCTGCCTCTCCAATAAATAAATAAATGTTTTTATAAAAGGTCCTGAGAAAATAAACTTAGATATCTGTGAAATTCCATTTTTCCACAAACCTTTTGAGGTGTCCTTCTATGTGTAAAGTGCTTAAACCAGCCTTATACATACTAGAGTTTGTTTTCCTCATCTGCAAAATACAGAGTGTAATCTTTGCTCATTTCTCGTGAGATAGGAAAATCATGGACCCGGAGTTGATGAGTAAAGATGGTGTGGAACCTAAAATGGCTAAAGGAGATGAGGATGTTTAATCTTGGAAAAGAATAAAACTTTGGGAGGGTAAACAGTTCAGCTACTGCCATACGCATGTACCGGAATTAAACAATTAAATGAAGGGATGGTAGGTGTCACTGTTGTCTCTGTTGGGTAGAAATGTAGATGGTAGATGTAGGTTGTCACTGTTGGGTAGAAATTCACTGATCAGCAACATCAAATCCATATCACCACCACGTGACAATGGATTAGAATTGGAGATACAAGGTCATCAAAACAAGGAAAGTCTGAGGAACTGTTGCAGCCATGAAGAGCCTGCACAGAGAAGACAACTAAATGTGATGGGGCCTCTTTGATGGGATCCCAGAAGAGACAAAAGACATTCAGTAAAAGCTAAAATCTGCATCCAGTGTAGTTAACAGTAATTTATCCTCGGATTGTGGTGCAGCAGAGCAAGTTGCCGTTTGGGATACGAAGACCCCGTATTGGTTCAAGTCCTGGCTATTCCACTTCAGATCTAGCTCCTTGCTAATGCATCCTGGGGGGCAGCACATGGTGACCCGAGTGCTTGGGTCCCTG